GTATGATGCGTTATTTTTTATTTTTGATATTGTTTTATTATCACTAAATTTATTACATAGGGTTCTGTATGTTATATCCGTGATTAAATGCAGTGAAATAAACTATTTCAAAGGTAACAAATCTTTGATGTATTTACATAAAAACTTTAATTGCTGGATGGTCGGCCCCTCAGCTGTTTGTCCGCATTAACCGTGGCCCCCGGAGCAATTTAGTTGAATAGCCCTGCTATAAACTGTTTAAATTTGACAAAAAAAAAAATGAGCAGAGAAATTTGTTTTTTTATTGTCAGAGTAAACCTTCAGTGTTGGCTGAGTTTGGAGATGTTTCAGCTGGAGGCGCCTGCAGGGATCTCAGGGTTATAAAGTCAGACAGAGGGTCGATATCTTTTTCAGGTTGATGCCTCGCACACGTCAGGCTCTTCGGTTTAGCTTTTAGATTTGAGCTAAAGGGCAGATTCAGATCAGGCTTTTGGGAGCTCTGTGTAGTTTTAAAGACGTCAGCTGAGGTGAGTGTGTTTGTTTGAGCGGACGATTTGACTGCAGCTCCTGAAAACTTGTTTTCCAAAATGTTTGCGTTGGTGCTGACGGCAGCAACGGGTTTTTCTTTTTTATTTATTGTGCTGAGAGCTGGCATCAGGGAGCTCTGAGGTGAAGCCACGCTGGCTTCTTTGCGGAGTAGAGCTTTATTTTGAAAATCCAGAACAATGGATTCAACTGAAAACAAAAGGAAAAAGAATATGAAGCTGTAACCTGTGCACTAACCTTTTTTTTATTTAAGCCAGACTTTGACACAGACACTCACCTTCTAAATCTTCAGGTAACAGTTTCTGGAAGTCTTCCACCTCATCGTTGTCCCTGGTTATGAGATTCTCAGTCGTCATTTTCTCAGTGAACTCYCGACTTTGGCCCAAAAACACCTGTAACTCTGATTTGTCCTCACTGAAACTTTGTTTTTCTAATTTAAAAGCTGACAAAACTTCACTCAGGGGCTGGAAGTCCCAGGCTGGTTCATTTATATGAGGCTCTGTGAGAAAAGACAGCAGAGTTTATTGTCGTTGTCAAATAAAAAGCTTGATTTGTCCAAATGTGACCAAACAATGGTTAAATATGTCACATAAAATATAAATAAACTATAAAAACAAATGCCAAGATAAAAGTTTGAATTTTTTTCTCAGATAATTGATTGTTTTCATAAAAATAAGAAATAATTAGGCAAAAACAGATATCCCAGTTTTTTTTTTTTTTCAGGATGAGTATCAGGATCAATTTGTCCTACATTTCCCATGATGCAACTCTCTTATCCTCTTGAGCCCCGTGCAAACCAGCATTTCCCATTTTCTTTATTTTTTAACTTAAGATCTGTCAGTTGAACCTTGACATGTTTGGTATCAATAGAAAGCTAAGAATCTTGGCTAAAATCTCATGGAAACCATATTTACATTCACCAAACACAGTTCAAATGACAGGCAGTTGAATCAGAAAGTAAACAAACTGTACAAAATGGGATTGTTGGAAATCTGTAAATACAACAAATCTGTAAAGGAAAATGTTTGACATTTGTTTTTAAAGCAAGTCAAG